GGGGGGGTACGGGTCGCGGGATTATGAGATTAACCGAAAATGAAATTTCCAAGGCGAAAAGAACGGAGCATCGGAAGGGATAGAGGAGGGGGGAGGGATCGATCGTGCTCGAGCGTCGAAGGTCGATCATAGTCGCGTACTAACGCGGGTATACAAAAATCGGCGTCGGCCGAGAAGAGAAACAAAAGGATCAGGAGTTTAACTACAGCGTCATTACACGAGCCCCGACGTGCAATAAGGCAAGCTGAACCACGCGTTTTATAAAAGACCGTGACAGGAACTGCAAGGTCGTTCATGGTCTTGCGACTGTCACGTGCCACTGTCTGTAAAATGTAAAATCACGAAGGACAGAAACTGGCCTAAGCCAAGCATACGGTTGACGATACATTACCAACCGATACAATTGCACGACGGATCGCGTGACGCGATATGGTAAGGAATTAGAAACATTTTCGCGTAAGTAAAAAAACGCTCTCACTTCTCTATATTTTAACGGTCTTGCGAATCATTTTTTGCGCTATCAGATCTGTCAGATTCGTCGACATTCTGATGATGTTCAATTAGTATGTTTTCTGGTGACGCGTATAGTCCCATCTACATATAGTTTGAGCAAAGAAATGAACACATTTGGTCAAAAAATTAATACATTTCATATTTTATTTTAAAGAAGAAAATTGATAGACATGTAAGGAAATAAGAATCTGAAGAATCTAGTCAGTCGGAGTATTATGAGGAAACTTTCAGAGTTGAGGTAATAATATTTGCTATATCCGATATAAATCTATCCTACTTACTGAAATAATAATTAATAATTTTTTTTCAATTAATTATCAGCATACTATTTTTATCAATACATGATACAAGACGAACAATTTTAACTAAACCTGGAGCTCAAGATGTCAGCGAGTGTCACATCTCGCGATATAGTTTACGATCTACCTGTTCCGCATTTCCTGCATGAATCTTATCGTGTAATCTGGCATCATACGCACAGATCCCTAACATAGATCCCTTCTTGAGCAACAGTAGTTCACGTGATTCGCCATCTCGAATACGGTTCCACAGAAACGCTGGCGAGTCAAATTTTTGTAATCGCAAAAATATAATGATCACGTACGTGCATGCATCCGAGCGTTGGTAATCGCGAGATTATCTATAGTGTTGCACATTTAATAAAGCTGTATGCGGAGAAGTCGTGAACAATTTCGTTCGATGCACGTTTCGAAATTTATCTGGTGAGTCTCCCGATAAAATTAAACGAGCCGGCGCTATGGTTTTAACAAACGTGTTATCCACGCGTCTGGTTCGTGTATATACTTCAACGAGAGATCACATTACCGTGGTCGTTTCGCCGCTCATACGAACCGGAAACCACTCTCAAATCTAATTTATTTCGTTCGTGCAATTATGATTATCTTGTTGTATATAATAATATTACACGCCATCTCGCGGAGAACCGTTTCGAATATTCTACTCGCAGGCGCGGGGGAACATTCGCTGTTTCCATCGTTGAACAAACGCTGATGATAATTAGCGTAAGTTGTCATAATTGGTAGCCACAGTTGGCCAAAACGAAAGCGTAGGAAATAAGGGAAGTAGGCTACGATGCGGCGCGGCGTGTACAGGGAACAAGCGGTTGCAGGTCGCTGTAATTAATGTGTTTTTGCTTCGTTAACATTAAACGTCGCTAGTGTGTAACGGCGACGATAGGGTAAAACTCAGGTATGTTAATGGACGTGATAGTAATTGGTCGTTTCGAGTCCCTTTCCGTTTGCCTGTTGCTTTATAATTTGCGAAACGGCCAATTAACATTCTCGAAAAGGAGTAGGTGGTCCGTGATCATAAACGTGATTATAGTTTTCAGGTAAAACGCTGCTCTGACGTCAGCCAATAAAAGTATTGATAATTTTAATTGAATCCTTCCGTAAAAATCGTAATCGGAATCGATGCGCCGATCGGTCGGCGGACTTTACGAGTCTGCTTGCCGTTAAACTCGATACGATTATCAAGAAGAATTCAGCTAGTTTTCAAAACCGGTGAAAACCGGGTCACGGCAAACGTGGACAATTAAATTTATTTAACGAACAGCTCCGAAACGACCAAAGTGAAATTCACTCGGCAAAAAAAAAGAAAAAAAAATACGACGGTTAATTAACGGATCAAACTTTATAAGACATTTCGAAATCGAAACGTCAAACACTAAAATAAATTGACACTAAACGTGACAGAGAATGAATTTACATACGTATGGACTTGAATTGAAGAAAGTTTTGTATGAAATGAGCATGTATTGTTGATCAAACGTACAGAGATACGAAAGTAGCAAAACTCGTGTATAAGGGAGCGCAGAATGCAACCTCGCTCGCTTGAACTGGAGTTCTTCCGCAATGAAAAACACATATGTAGGTACACACAGAGAGTCGCCAGTGCTCGATACCTGTATATTGGCTTGTGCACGGCAAGATCTTCGATCAAGAGCATGCGCACGTTCGTGCGCGAACGAACAGGCAACGCGACCGTATAACGTGCAACCCATCGAGGAGAATACGGGAACGTATACACATATTTATACGTATATACCTGTTGCTTTCTCTCTGCTGCTGCAGTCAAGATGCTGGAACTACGATGCTCGGTACAATTCAAACTACTCGAGCCGGTCGGTGAGAATTCGCCGTCTTCGTAATACGAATTCACCGTTCTTCGCGCGGACGTTCTGTTGCCAGTACTCGAACGAGGAACGATGCTTCCTGCGTAACACTTGGCAACGCACATGCACCAACACCCGAACGCTGACCGATCTGCCTTGGAAAGCGTCGCTCGAGAATCACTGGGTACGAGGATGATTCCCAGCTTGTCGCATCGCCACGTTGCGTAATATTCCGCTTGTACGTTCTTCTCGTTGTTGTTGTTATTGTCGTTGAACTGGCACCACTTCACAATTGCACCTGCACTTGCACTTGCATCGCACCGCGCGAGTAACAGCGCAATGTTGCGGCGAGTCGTGAGGCCCCGACAGATCACGGGGTACCGTCGCGCTGTTCTATATCGTGTTGAGAGAACCGAAGACGGTGGCATCCTCGCGGCATCACCGTACACTGCACTCGAGTCAAGCCGAACGCTTGGCTCGCTCTCTTTCACTCTGTTTCTCTCTCTT